TTTTTTTTGGGGGTGGGGGTGGGGGGAGGGAAGTATACATATATGAACATGCTGAATAAATACGGCTTTAATATTAGTTTAATAGAAGGTACGCATTACATCATTCAGTGCTGACCATCCAAGGAAATAATATAACATGTGTAATTGCTGTCAAGTGACACTAAACTACTAATATATCTCCAGCTAATGTCTGGCAGAATCAATAATGTGCTATTCACTACAAAGTCTAGTAGCTAGTAAATAATATTACATTTTAAAGCAATAGCCTTACAGTCAACTTGTGAATAATAGAAGGCAAGTGGTGCAATCCCTGGGTAGCTGACAATTCAGAATGATAAGGGCCAAACTGAGCAATCTGCACCACACAGACAGTGATAAGTTCAGACAGAGGTTCTAAACATTCCTCAGTCTGTTAGATAATGTGTATAAGAAAGGTTGACAGAGGTTCTCATCCTTCTCCACTAAACTAAAAAGAAATGTTTTTACTGGAGTTGCAGTCTCTGCACATTTTACATCTATAGTGAATTTTGTACAATACTATACTATATTGTATTCCTTCTATTAAAGGCTAACAACAGCAATGATAACCTACAGTCTATAACATCGGGAGACTGGGATGTAACCGAGATCCTGGCATATAATGAAAAAAATCAGAAAATGTAAGTATTTTTATCATTTTGAAGCACATGACTATATCATAGATTCTAAACGATAGGCTGCAACCTTCAAAAATGCCAACTATGTTGGTGACTATTTATTTGTAAAGGGGATTGATTTTGCTAATTGGAATGAGATTCGGTTGTTAGTATATATATCAGCTTCTTTAAAGGGCCACTGTAGCTTTAGAAGGAAGTTTCAGTGTGAAGATCTTGGTGTCAAGCAGGTTACCTGCTCCTTCATTACCCTAACCAAATGTAAGCTGTCGTTAACTCTGAGGCTGCTAGGATGTTCCTAAATAAATAGTCAGAGAGTGCTGGGGCCCCCTGTGTTTCTGGGTCCCCATAGCAGCTACATGGCTGTCTATGGCTATAGCTGTTTCCTTGTTAAAGTTGTAATTGATGTTTACATAGATTTGCAAAATATATATAACAGGCCACTAGAAATCAACTCGTACTACTCCAGTGTTTTCAAAAGCTTACTTTTATTAGGTGCCATGAATAACGGCTAATCTGTGATTTAACAGTACGTTATCCAAGCAGAACCGCTGCTAAAAGCACAAATTACAAACACGTGAACTGTTTTATCTGCCATATTTCTAATTCTGTTCAGCCATTACTGAGTCACACCGTAAGATTGATTTTCTAAAGAAAAATAGGCTGTTCACTTTATAAGGGAACTTTCCGGGGATGTCTTCCCTTAACTTTGTAAATGGGTTGAAGCTCTGTTGACTTCCATCATCCAATCACTGTGTTTTCTTTTATTTTGTTTACATATGATTGCATATTATTTGAAAAGTATTTTTTTTACCACATTCACTAAGCTAAGGGAAAATTCACTTTGCAAAGTGAACAGTCCATTTGCCTTTAGTAAATTAACCCCTGTATGTGCAATAATTGGCTATAGGTAAAGGTTGGTAACAATATTTAGCACAGTTTAGCCTGCAGTGTCCTGTGTCATTGGCCCATTCAGTCTTATTTCTGGAGATGACGGGCCCCTAATATAAAGATAGATTTCATAATCTTTATAGTTGAAATATTTAAAATATTTAAAATTTAGTAATGTTTATTTTAACATTAGTATTTTTTTTCCTGCAGCCTCAATTTAAATGAAACCAATGCATGACATCCAACTACTGAGCAGATATTTTTATTATCTAACATAAGCTGCCCATAAGGAGCATCATCCTGAGCCGATGTGATTGCTCATTTAATAATGGGGTGAAGATTGGGCAGCTTAGACAGCAATAACAAGCTTTTCCGACATCAGCTATGCTGTTTCTCCCAAAAAGAGATTTTCCAGCTTGCTAAAAAAAATCTATGGATGCCCTGGAGAATCCTTGCTCTTCTTAATAATAAAAGAGATAGTGGCCACATATGGGCTGTATCTTCCCATTGGGTTAGTCCCATATTAACAACTGTGAGGTCCAATAGCAATCTAGGATAAGCAGAGACCTCCCTGCCCATCGACCTCGAGACAATAATGACATTCAAAGCTAAACTAACTTCTACCATTTCACTGCTCTTGGCCTGGGAATTTCTGTAGACCTAAGCCAGAGAAACACAATCAAAATGAGATGCTTTCACCTTCTTGTGATCATTGAATAATTACCACTGTGCTGCATTGTTAATGTGAACACTGAGACACTCAGACATGAGAGGGTCATTGTTAAACAACCCCATCTGCTATGCTATAGCATTGATATTGGGCCGAAAGTAATTACTGCAAGCGAGAAGGATCAGAGTTCACTTGATAAGACTCCACCAGATAAGTAATTTTCTAATCATTATTTAAGCTCCTTTAAATGGTGGTTTACAAAAATCTTTATCATTACGCATGAATAATAATAATTTGCCCTGGATTTTTCATTACACAGCTTTGGACTGCCTCTTAGAAGATAACAAAACAAGAGACCTGCTTTAAGATCCATGCCGCTTGAGTTTTGTTATCAAGGGGCATTTTGAAGTGTCAGTGATAGATACTAAATAAAGATAATTTGGCCACCATGATTCAGTAAAAAGTAATGACAACACACATTCCTTCAATGGCCACACTGAGATCTGTCATTGCCAGACTGGGGAAAATATAATGAAAAGGCATCCTTGCCAGTTCTCCAGCTAAGATACAGAGGAGATGTTTTTGTGTGTTAGGTCACAGATACTTGATTCCTCGGTCGCAAAGTCATTTAGAATTCACAAAGGTTTCAATAAGAGACTGAATCGTCTCATCAATCCTTACTTCCTACACATTTTCTTGAGGAAATTTTCTTCTAGGGTCTCTGGCTGTCAGAGATTAAAAAAAATAATAAAATCTATTGCACAAAAAAGTAGGTCAGTTGGAAGGAAGGAAACATTTTTTTTGTCAGTGTTAACAAAAGAGAAGATTTGTTATATGAGGATAAACCTGCAGCATTGTTGAAATTTCAGGTCACAGTTTGTAATCTAGCACCTTGTAATTATTCCGCTTAATAAAAGAAGACACGAACCACATGTCTTTTAATTTAGGTGAAAAAATGGGAATAGGGCAATTACTAAAGACCGGTGATATGAAAAATACTTGAAAGGATAAGTTTGCTTTTGCAAAGAAACAGAATAAATGAATAAACCAGTACCACCCCCATCCCTTTTCTTCCTTGTGAACTGATAAGCAAATACAATACATATGGAGTCATAAATTGCTTTTTGATGCTGAGGCTGGGGATGAAGGCATTGTTAAGATTTCCTGTAAAATAAAAAACTCTGTAAAAAATAAATGCTTTTGTTTTTCTAAGAACCAGCAGAGTCAAAATACAAGTTGCCTTTATAGGGGACCTGTCAGGATAGCAATTTGGGGACAGCCCCTGATGATACGTTTTTTGAGATGCATGCTCTGGGACTGTTATCTTTGCTTCCTTAATTGGTAAATCATTGACCTGGAGCGAGTATGCATCTGATGAAGTGTTGAGACCCCTAACATGCACTTACCAAGACAGTAACTTACCATTTAGGAAGTATAATGAGGACAGCCCTGCAGCTTGAATCTCTTAAACAAGACAGCACTTATACTTCTGTCAGTACAAACTCCTTATGAGGATAAGAGCTTCTGATGTTGTCCTTGTTTTCTAAGGACCGTTCCTAGTTTTGGAACTATGGGGTTGATTTTCTAGCAGCAGATAGGCTGTTCACTTTGCAAGGGAATTTCCACTTTGCAAGACAACTGACTGCTGACTTCCATCATCCAACCATGTGCAAGTAAAAAAAACTTTTTTATTTTTATTTCCTTGCTTTCCTTGATTGCGTATTGTTTGCAAAGTGAATTTTCACCACATTCACTAATCAAAGTGAAATTTCCCTTGCAAAGTGATGCCTATTTGTCTTTAGTAAATCAACCCAAATGTGTATAACATTGGTTTCGTGTTTATTTTGACTATTAAACTTACTCTGTCACTCGCATCAAGAATGATATATATATTTTTCTTTTTTACCCATGTCTCCTAACTTAACTCCATTCCACCATTGCAGCCTTGGCCAGACTCTTCAGCATTTGACACTTCTAGGAGTGTTGAATGCCTGTTTCCCCCACCATGTGGTATGGTTTTTACTTCTGGCTTCTATGTCACTGCAGAGCCCTTCCGTTCAGTCGAACCGAAGGCCTGCTGTACGGGCTATTCACTATAGCAGGCATATGCTTCGGCTCGACCGAAGCGTGGAGAAGGGCCGACCACTCTCCACGCAAATGACAGCTGGGCAGAGTCCGCCGTGATCTCACGGCGGACTCCGCCCAGTTGTAATGACAGATCAGCATCTCCAAATGACCTGGGGACACTGATCTGTCATTAAACAATAACAACTGGGCGGTGACAGCCGTGACATATTTAGCACAGCTTTCCAGTACATTTCCCCATGTTATGTCTCTTTAAAAGTGCTGCAAGTATTGAAAAATACCTGTTGATCCTGCCAGAAATGCAGTCTAACAACACTACCACTGCTGCACTGAAATACAAACCAGTGTTGTTAACCCTGCTTGAGTTCATCCCTGCTGGATTATGTCAGCACACCCCCCTCCAAGCTCACTCACAGGATGGACTACAATCTCACGTTTAGTTTACTAATTTGTATTGAGATTGTAGTCCATCACGGGAGTGAGCTTTGAGAGGTGACTACTTTACAACACACACAGGGACCATGGGGAACAAAAGTAGCCACCCTCCAGAAGGAAGGAAAGGGTCGGCATGAATTCAGAGATGATTTGAGGATCTACAGTTGAGTGGTACACAAATAATGTACCGTTTTGATAATAGTTAAGGTACTTAAATGTATTTTTAAGGTTTAACTCCTGAGTTTAGTGTCACTTAAATCATAGGATGACAAAGGGCCAATGACTATTGGTCAAAGTTGTCCATGAACTTTTACTTACAGTTGCCGTGCCATCTTTGGAAACTGTAAAAATGGCATACGTATCTCATCAGCAGATATGACAACCCTCAAATACATATAATAGTATCAGAGGGAATATGTTTTCCATGTTGCATTAAACAATCCTCTCTTAAAAATATTTTAGATGAGAAGAGTACATTGTTTTCAAAGGACTGGATTTATCATTTTATACTAGGGGCGTAATTGATCATAGTTCAAAGGCACTGTGGTTTCCTTTTGAGCATTGAAGCCTTTCATTCTGTTTTTCTCATTGCATACATCTACCTGCTGCTGCTTTGAGGTATAAATTCTCTATTCCCTTTCTAATCTGTATTCCTAATTTTATCCAGCTACTTCCTCAGCACGGAAGATGGCCCAACAAGGAGACACTTATACAGGTAAACAAGCTTTGAGTAAAAGCCTGTCTCACTGCAATGTTTAGGTTTAAATGCCTGCTTATGCACCTTATTGCCATTGATAGGCAATCTGCCATCGACCCATTGTAATGCAATGTGGTACTTCATATGTGTACTGAGTGGCCATAAGCCAGGGTTGAGCAATGGAAAGGTTGCTCTTTAACAGCTTATTGAGATTTAGATGTCTGATCTGATGTGTATGAAGCTGTTTAGTACCTGTTCCAATGAGGTGATGTATGTTTTGCTTAGTTCCAGCTGTACTGTTGCCAAATATACATTATAAATGTATATAAACCCAAGGACAAAAATTATAAATATATTGGTGCTTACCAGTTCCAAGATACCTGTTTAGTCATTTTGTTACCTTTATTTTCATGTGGCGATGCTGCCAGTAACACACACGCTATCCTAGGGTGGCAATATATAACCAAACACTTTCAATGGCATATGTAGCAGACTAAAAGGGAGCAAATAAAAGAAGTTCACTGTTGGGATTTACATACAGCTTAAGGCTAAGTTCCCATGGACATCAGGGCAGGAGAAGGTGTTCGGGGAGCATTTGGCAAACTTGCTCGGGGAATGCTTTGTCTTCTTGTAGACGTACATATAGGACTTGGAGGGCATTTGTGTCACTGTGTGTAAAAAAAATAAATAGTTGACAGCAGCAATTGGTAGGCATCATGTTCCAAATTCCCCAACAGTTGTCTATTGGAATACCATTTATTGTAGTTCTTAGTGAACATTATGTAAAGGCACTCACAATTCACCCAACATAGCAGCTGCATGTGTTTAGAAAGTTTTCAATTAAGCTTTTTTACTTTTTTTGTCAGTTGAGTTTTGCCAAGTTTTATGTCTGATTAATTGTGCATATGCTACCAGCTTTATATTCGCCAACTTTATATTGGATATGCCAATCTGCCCTCATTGCTGCCAGGGACCTATTTCTGGATTTGCCGCAAATGCATAAGATCCCCCACAGGGATATAAATTTGAAATAATGTTGAGAATTGGCCAAAACATGTGATATGTCTATCCCTGGGTTAAAGGAGAACTATGGGGTCAGTGTTTTTCCCCATAGTTCTCCTTAGGGTAACGGGAGGACACAAACTAGCGTCCTCCCGTTACCCTAAGCTCAGTATACCGCGAGCTGTATACTGAGACGCCGCAGCCGGAGCGGATCCCGGCGTAGATGGCGGGATCCGCCCAGCTGCATGAGTGACAGCTGGCTCTGCCTATCTAGAGGCAGAGCCAGCTGTACCCGCCCCCTCCCCCGTCCGTTCCGCCAGTCAGCGCTAGCAGATTGGAGCGGGGAGAGGGGAATCGAGCCCTCCCCCTGTCACGGCAGAGAGCCGTGACAGGATCGAGAGGTGAGCGAACCCGGTATGTGTTCGCTCACCTCCCGATCTACTGAGCCGACCTGTGACAGTCTCATTGTCACAGGTCGGCTAGAACTATGAGGTGAGTGGAAATCACTCATCTCATAGTTCTCCTTTAATGCAAGCTGGAGGTTACACCACCCTGGTATGATCTGCATACATTTTGACTGCTTTTGTGATGAAGGGTAGCAATGCGCTAATCATGTGCTTTGCTACATAATATTGAGAATTTTAATGATCATAAATGTAAAATACAGCTACGACAGCTGTGAGCTGGACTGTGAAAGGAGAAATGTAGATATGCTTTACTAATTATATTTTCTTTGCAGCACGAACACCAACGGGAGCTTCAACAGGCAATGCATCTCGTGTCTACTGATTGAAAACTGTACTTATGTCAGTGCTTCCTTCAGTCACACTCTGGAGTACTTCTTACTGAAATGTGAAGGTATTATAGCCAGTACAATCCATTAACTTGTCTTCTCAAATGATACATGGTGCTATACATGATCAAGTGCTGAGCCATAAAATAGGTAATGCGAGTAAAATCACGTTAAAGCATGAATATGGGTCATTATATTTTATTATTAAAGAACTGGTAAACATATTCAAATAAAGCACTCAAAATATTCCTAGCAATTCTGCATTGCTCATATTATAAAAAGGATTTCACATCCTTACTGTTAAAGGTAAAGGTAAAAGAAGAAAGCTTTGAGTTCCATAGCCCAATAAAATCACAAATTTATGGACCTTTTGTACACGGGCGTAACTAGAAATCACAGATCCCCATAGCAAAATTTCATAGGGATCCCCCCCCCAAAAAAAATGCCACATTACTACAGTCATGTGGCACAGTACCTGAGCTACAGCATGTATTATTTTAAATGATATACAGTAATTAATGCAGTGCGTTCCTTATAATGAGATAGCCTGAGGCAGTTGCCTTAGACACTGTTTCATTGGGGTGGTGGTGGGGAGTGGAAGGGGCCGGGTGAGTGGCCAGGTGGTGATGGTGGCGGCAGGAGGGTGGGCAGCCCTTGGCCAGGTAGTTGGGGGGCGTCCACAGCGTCCCAGATTGCTTAGAGCTCTTAGCAACCTGTGACACTCTGTGCGGCTTGCCCAGCTCAGTGATGTCACTAGTTGCCAGGAGGTGAGCAGGGAGGTCTGACAGC